TTGCAAAGCAGACGTCCCACGTGTGCCCAAAACCAGCCAGCGCACGTGGGTGCGCCTGGCAGACCCCAGCCGCCATGAAGTGCACCTCCGCAAGCAAAGCAAAGAAGCCTTGCTGTGGCTTGAACAAATGTTCAAACACAGCAACATCGCTCCCCTTCACCAACCGCAGCTTTTGCAATGCCTTAGCGCCGCAGATGCCATGGCAGAAGGCAACCAGGTGGGAATAGGGGGATGGATGTGTACCAGCAGAGGCTTTGCATGGTTCAGCGAAACATGGACCATGCAAGAGGTCCGCGCCACCTGGCCTGCCCTCACAGACTCAGCACAGCCGTACATCGCCTGCTTTGAAGTCCTCGCACAGCTCGCGCTCCTGCAAACCGCTTGGTTGAAGGCGAGGCCATCCAGCATGTCCTTTATATTACCCACAGCAAGCGACAATACTGCAGCCGAAAGCGGCATAAATAAGCTCTTCAGTACAACCGAGCCACTCGCATCTTTCCTGAAGCTAGTCGCAGACTGGGCGCACAGGCACTCCGTGCAACTAGCAGTCTCCCACCTTGCAGGGGAGAAAAATGTCTGGGCAGACGAGCTCAGCCGCAACCGCATGCACCGATTCCAGCACCGCATGCACGAACGCGTACGCATTTCACTGCAAATGCTTGCAGAACGATGCCACTGCATCCACCTGCACCCCCCAGACGCATTCTGGGCTAGCTCTTTGCTGGCTGCCTCCGCATGAGAATCGCACTTTTCGCAACCGCATGCGCAGCAAAAAAGAGACCAGAGCATTGCAGTCTCACGGTGAGTACACTGCATGTACTAATGAAGCCTCTGCCTGCGCATCGGCACACAGCACTGAGGCCGAAACACTCCTGAGCGTAGGGGTCCTAGTAGCAGATTCAGGAGTTGCTCCGGACTAAAGAAGGGGTTGTGAACTCAGAGTGATCTTGCGTTCTTTAAGAACCGCTTTGCACTCTTCGCTACCCGGAGCAACACCTGAAAAAAGGAGCGCGTCCGATCCGTTGCTTGCATTAGCTAAGAAGGGAGTAGCCTGAACGTTGCGTGTGATCTTTTCTTTTTTTTTATACACGCATGTTTTGCTACTGCTTGTCTTGGCGTTGCAAATGTTGAGATCACCGCAGGGTTCAGGCTCACGCACTGCAGTGGGCGCCGAGCGCCCCGGAAATCTTCGCAGCAAGATTTTTGAAAACCCACCCAACCCTCCCTGAAGCATCCTATGGCTCGCACAGCAAAAGGTTCGCACAACCTTACAAGAGGCACGCACTGCCGAGATACAGCAAGGGGGGGTTGTGAACTCAGAGTGATCTTGCGTTCTTTAAGAACCGCTTTGCACTCTTCGCTACCCGGAGCAACACCTGAAAAAAGGAGCGCGTCCGATCCGTTGCTTGCATTAGCTAAGAAGGGAGTAGCCTGAACGCCACTGGATCAAAGTTTCCTTTTAAAGTGCCCCTCCTAGTGGGTTAACCCTTTACAAGTCAACCGCGGTTTGGAGTTTGGGGGGTAGAGTTTAGGGTTAACCCCTCCCACCCAAAGGTGCCTCGTCGCCGAGGGAGACGATGAAGACGACGAAGTGCATGCCGGTGAGCAGTGGAGGGTTTAGGGTTCGGGGTTGTCAGGCTTATTTCCCGTTATTTTTTCCGTCGTTGCGTCGCTAATTTTCTGGTTACATCGCCGTCGCACCGCCGCCGCCACACCGCTGCCACCACCGCACCGTCACCGCGACCGCACGGCCACACCGCCCGCGGCCACCGCTCACCGCCCCTCAGATGAGCAACTCCCCAGATGACCGCCACGGCCACCGCGCCGCCGGCGGACACCCAGATGACCACCACGGCCACCGCGCACCGGGGCCTTTCCAGCACAGAAGCAAGCAAAACGGCTACTAACCAACCCCCCTCCCCCAATTTGCCTCGGGCAATATTAGTGGTGATTTTGGGGCCTTCTCACCACAGAAGCAAGCAAAACGGCTACTAACCAACCCGCCCCCTGCCTGGGCAGTGTTAGTAGTAATTTTGTGGCCTTCCCAGCACAGAAGCAACAAAACGGCTGCTAACCAACCCGCCCCCGCCCCCCCTCTGCTAGCAGTGATTTTAGGGCCTTCCCAGCACAGCAGCAAGCAAAATGGCTACTAACCACATTCCCTGAGATAGAGAGACGGATAGCGGTTTAGGAATGGATCCAGGCAACGGATTACGGATTAGGACACATTGACCCACCAACGCGGATTAGGCGGATAACGGATTGCGATTAGCCCGTTTTTCTTATCATCCACCCAGATAAAGTAGTCCGGTCCAGGCGAGCTGCTTGGACCTCCGATCACCAATTTTCTGCTGCAGCCTGATGTTTCTACTGACCTGCATCCCAGAACGTAGTGCCCAGTCCTGTATCGCAAGGTTCTCCTTGTGATTCTGTAGTTCTCTGTACAGAGGGGTTTTGTAGCAGGTCTAGTTGGTTGTGCAGTGCAACAAGCTGTGGCACTCGTCACAATTTGGACACGCGGATGTCCAAACCAAGCCAGGACGTTTTCCCAACGTCACCACAAAATGCAGCGCCCGCCTGCATCAAGAGCTTTTGAAGAAACTACATATTTATTTCGCAAACACCGATTTACTGATGCAAAAAACTCAAGTCAAGTTTTCCTTACAGATACCTTTTTGGCTCAACACTTGGCCCAAAACTCGATGGACCCTGAAGATCAGGATGAACGAGGCGGGGTGAAAAGTTTTTTCACACTCCTGTATTCCCAACTCCGAAACCGCCGGGACAAAACGCATTCCCCAAGTTTGCCTGCGTGGGCCTCACAGCACGCTCCTTCACTTTTGTGGGTTGTAGTCGGAGACTGTCTATCCTAGGCATCTTGCTCCAGCCAACCTTGAGGCTCGAGTCAATGGGCGTCCTTTCATGTCTTTGGATGCTGCTTTGCAGTCTGCCTTCATGTGTGCCGATGATGATGCTTCTGCTGCCCTCATGCTTCTTGGTCGGGCAGGGTTTGTCATAAGCCAATGACAAAGCAGCTTGCTTGGCTTCTTTTCCATACACCAGGGGTTTTCCTGACGCCGTGCCCCTCCTTCATGACAGGGAAGCTGCACAGCGCGTAGGCCATGCTGTTCAAATTGCTCTGCACGCCAACCGGTGGAAGCACTTGCTCCAATTCCAAATTTCCCTTTCAGTTGGTTCGTTCGTCTGAGCTTCGATGGGACCTGAAGAAGTCGAAAACCGGGAATTCCCCCCGCAGCCGCTTGCCTGAAATCCGGGGTGCAAGGGCAGCTTAAACACTCTTCGGGGTGGGGTGATCCAAACGCGGCCAAAATAGAGTTCTTTGCGGCGCGGGAATGAGTTCCGGGCCGGGCGGATCTTGATTGAAGGAGGGTTTTAGATCTGACGTCAACAGAGATGGTTTCAAAGCGTGTATTTGTTGTGGCAGATGGGGTTGGGCCTTGAGGGGACTGGGCGAGAGCGCGTGTACCCGAGTGTGCGCTGATCAGGCTTTGGCTAGCAAGGGGACACCCGCAACCTGAAACATTGTGTGCGCTTGGAATTCCAATGAGGTATTCGTTGCTGTCTCTATGCGCGTTTAGGGTTTAGGGGCTTTATGCTTTAGGGCTTTCAGGGAAGGGTTTCTGGAAGGTGTTTTCGGGTTTTTGCAGTTTCGGGTTGGGGTTAGGGTTTAGGCCAGCTAAGTGTGCTCACGAAAGGCGAAGCTGTCCATGCTCTTGGATGCACATGGTTTCCCACTGTTTGGGGTCTACGTTGCCTTTGGCCCTGCCGTGTCTGCTTTCGGCCTTCGGCCCAATGCCTTCTCGTGTATGTCATACAGACATGGTTTGTTTTTGGAGTTATTCAACGTTGGTTAGGGTAGTCCACCCTCCCTCTTGTAGTACAAAACATGCCATACTTGTATAGGTTTGACCTTTATTGTATTTTAATGAGGGGCGAGACCTCTGTAATCATTCCGAAACGGATCTTTTAGCAGATGGTTCGCAAGAGCGACTTCTAATCCAGTTGGGTGGTGTTTGAAGATTGACGGCTTCAGATTCATAATCGTTTTCAGGATATCCCCATTGTTCACCTTGAGTGTAAAGCCGTTTGAATCTGTCAATGCATTCATGTACTGTTGTGACATCCGATGTTTACTAAATATGTTGGGATCAAACATGTTTTCAAGTTTTCGAACATGTTCCGAACATAGCATATAGGTTGTTTTGCTTTTTGTGAACTTAAGTTTTCGTTTTTCGGTTTCACGTTGAATTTGGGCTGTCCTTATTCAGATTGTGACGGCGCAGTTATCTTGTCCGACATGCAAATTCTGTCGTCGGTATGCTTAGTAGACTGCTGGGTTATTCTAATTTGAGGCGTTGCAAGGCGCAAGACGATGCACCGACACATGAGCAGCAACCTTCACATCTTCGGCACGTCAGCATTCCAAAATCGGATTTGGCAAGTGCCTGTCTCACATGCAGAATCTTTAAATGGCCGTGCCGGTGGAATGCTTGGAGTGCACACCACCACTGCATTTGTCAAAGCGGTGAAGGACATTGTGTTGTGAGCAATGTTGTGTCGATTGTTCGATTAATTGTGAGAGCAGGAGACTGCCGATTGCCTGAAAAAGAATATTGCCCTGGGCCTGTATTCTTGCTTTCATCATGACCGACACCGCGCCGGGGTTCAAATTGCCCAGGCTCTCATTTATGAGAAAGATGAGTTCGGCAGCGACAGTCGCCTGGTCAAGTTAGAAGATATGCTTCCCCATTGTTTTGGTGTGCGTTCACGGACCCAGGTGAATCTGAACAAGAGGCGCTGAAGCAGCCCGTAGCCCAAGATGCCCAGCAAAGCAGTGGGTGCGAACCTTGGTAGGGCTTATAAGGCTTATGCGCACCATAGCGGTCCAGTTCTTTGCATTGGTTGCCCTTGCAGGATGGACACCCCGGCACAGATCCCCAAGGCCGGAAAAAGATGTGACGTGCAACGGGTGAAGTAAAATGACATTTTGTGTTGGCTCCTTCAAGGAAGCTGTTGTGCATGAAGCTCGGAAGGCTCTTGGGGCTGCAAGACATGACCATAGATTCAACACAACATATTGTTGTTTTGGCAGGTGGTTGTGCAAGAGGAGGCTGAAGATGATGCACAAAGCCCCGTCCACAGCAACCACAAGACATGCATGTTTCGTGTGTTGGGTTTAGTTCGATCTCAAGCGTACTGAGGTGATGATCAAAACCAGGGTGCTACAACGATCGGTGAAAATCGATTTCTGTACTTTGAACTCGATGACTTACTTACAGGCCCTTAGCTTACGCGTAGGCTTAGCTTCATGCCTTGTTGATGACATGCTTCACGCTGCCATCAGAAAACACCACCGATTTCAACCTGGACTTGTGCAAAGTGCAGGCCAGACTTCGCCAAATGAACCAAAACTTGCATGCATTTGCTGCTACAAGCTTTCGGTTGGTGCCGCAGGTATCAAGGCTGCTGGCAAAAGTTCGCGTCGGAGAGCGTGTTGAAGCAGCTAAGGCAGCGACTTTATTCCCTCCATAGAACCGCGTAAGCAGAGGTACTGAGGCGGTTTCGCGAAGGGATTGTCACCATGAGCACTTGTTGAATTTAGCAAGTGGCAGGTTGAAGTGGTACTTGCAGATTTCAGCAGCTGTCGGTCATACGGTTGTTTACAAATCTTTCAAACTGTTCATGCTAGTTGGGGCAACCTAATGTTACAAGGTGTTATTATGCTGCAAATGCAGTCTTACCAGCCTATCCATGTCTTGCACAAGCTGCTGTGTGGTTGTTGCAACGGCGTTCGTTCATCGCACATCGCTAGGACATGGAGCAGTGGATGGGCGTGCTAGAAACGTCCCATACGGAGTCTGAGATGATGCTCAAAGAAACCGAGGTGCTTTTGCTTGACATTGACACGTGACAAAAGCGACGTCGTGCGGGGTTTAGGCTGCAACGGAAGCTTCGCAACACGGCCTGGAGGAGCGACGTGCCTCGGATGCGATTGACAAGCGTATCATCTCGTATCATGTAGTGGGGCACAATATGTGCGATGCAGGTCAAGACATTGCAACACTGGTGGGTCAGAACAGCATCAAGACTTCGGCGTTCCGAACCAAGTTGCAGGAAAACCGTGTCGCATCATGTCCAGTGCCTCGTTCATCCTGCATGACGCAGATCTGAAGGTTGTTGAAGAGTTTCATGCAGAAGGCCCTCGGTGACAATTGCTCCACACTGTTCAGCATGTTTGTGATGTTGCCGTGAACAGGTTTCACAGTACCGCCTTGAAACCCTGGACATGCTCAGGGTGGGCTCCTTGGGTTTATTCCTTGGTCCTACGAGCTTTGTGCCATGCCAGGCCAGGTATGCCAAGTCTGCTTATGATGAGTTCTGGGATGGATTGCTGGATGCTCGGAGAGCTGATTCTGTTTAGACTGTGGAACGGCCAAAAGCACTGTGTGGCCAACGAACTCACCTGTCCTGCCTTTCCCTGGCACGGGATGCTTTGGGAGCTTCGCCCTGTCATGCTTTCCAGCATCACGTTTATCACCCACGGTTATGTCCTCGCACGATACCGAAGCAACATCTTGCCGATCCATGATAGTTGCCGATGAATTTGAATGGAGTATTGTGATGCCGAAATATGCCGAAGGCAATTTGTGGAAATCGACATCACAACAAAAACATTAAAGGTGCGTTTGCGGGCACGAAGGCGCAGCGTTTCGACGAGGGTATAGATTTGTTTTCCGCGCATCTTTGAAGCCAGATTCACACGCGGGAAGAATCGCTTGAGGAGCAGCCTTTGAGGCCGCAGCAAAGCCGGCTGATGGGCCGGTAATTGGTGAATTCATCCTCAAAGCCGGTTTTGTCCAGCAACCGCAGAGCGCCATGCTGACGGCACCACTGCCCAGCAGCGAACAAATTCAAGTTCACAGAAAGAAATGAGCGCAGTGCGCAAGGTATCATTGTCAATTTGCAGAAGATCAGGTTCAGAAAGCGGGAAATCGAAGCGGCTGGCAATGGCAGACGTTTGACTACGCAAACGACGGACGTCCGAATCCAGCTCTAGGCGAGCGCGAGGAAACGGAGCTTGCGGAGACAGGCGCATCTCGAAATGGCAATGCCCAGCTTCAAGACAAGCTGCACCTTCAACTGTGCAACGCCTGGTGGTGTGCAACGTGTTCTTGCCGCGCGGGCGCTTTGCTATGTTGTCTGCACGCAAACTTCCTGAGCGGCTGGACGATCCCTGAGCTCTGCCGGCGTGACGTTGCCTCATGCGTTTGGATGAAACACCATCGTGTACGCCCGGCCCTGGACGCCGTATGCGCCGGGCTGAGGCATCTCAAAGATTTTTCACCAACCACTTCTTGAATGGAAGTGGTGCGGGACCGTGGCCTGAGCCAGCTATGCCTCAGCGGGTGTGATGATTGGAGTTTGCTTCATGCCCTGTGCTCTTGCCCTCCTTTTTTAGCCTGGAGGCGCATTTGGCTACAACGTTGGCCCCCGCTGACACAGCGGGGTCGAGCCGCCTGCCACTCTGCGGCAAGTGATGCAGCCCCGCAGCGTGTAGCTTTAATTTCGACCAAAGCCATGCAGGTGGAAAAAAGCCGAGGAAGCAAATTCGATTAAATTGCTCGTTTCCCGGTAAAACCATGCATGGCAGACATTGGCAGACCTCGTCACCGCTGGAGTACGCGTCTGGAAGGTATTGCGAGATTGGCATGACGCGCTTGAAGATTACTCCACATTTGTAGCTTTAGCTTCCTTCCGCTCCGTTGGACTTGAGTCGCGCTCTTGAAGCGACTTGCTGCGAGTTGTTGCGCCCAAGTGCCCCTTGACTTAACCTCTGAAAGGACGAGCAACATGGTTGCTTACCCAAGGAGGCCACTCGAGCGTGCGGTCGCGTGCGTTGGCCTCGAGGCCGGCAGCACTGTCACCCATCGTCACTCAGCACGTTTTCGTTCCGTGACCTCAACATTGCCTGGTGGCCCCACACTGTTCTTTTAGGGCTTGCACATGTTTTCGCTTGCAAGGTCATCCCAATCGGGGGGAAAGGCCGGCATGCCCAACATGCTGGGCGCGGCATCGGGCCCTGCGCCAGGATGGCAGCCACGAGGGAACCATCGTCCACACGGTGCTGCAAACCACGCGCTGCACGGACCCACCACCGGCTCGCCCAACCTTGCGTGGCAGCCTTGCCAGTTGCGAGGACGTGCAATCGCTGGGAGCCTCCGCGCTCGGGCCTCACTCCGCGCGAGCCCTTACTGTCGGGCCCACCCAACACGGCGTCGTCATTCCCAGCACGCAATTTCGGGTGCTCCTGCTTCGACGCTTGCGGCTCCCGCTCCCGCTGCCCCGCGTGTCTGCAGCTGCCACGGGCGCCTGGACGCCCTGGGAGACCACCAGGGCGCGTGCGCCACCTCGAGAGTGCTCGCGTCGGGCGCGCTGCCACGCGCCGTCGCGAGGGTGGTGGGCCGGAGCCCTGCGAAAGCGGCCGCCGAAGAGCTCGAGGCAAGCCTCTTGGCATGGCACGATGATGTATCCGTCATTCCGCTTGGTCAGGCGGCAGGGATCGGCAGTGCCCGTCCAGGTGTGCTTGCAGTGCGGAGACGCCAGGACTCCTCCCCGGCGGCGTTCCAAATGCGCCTGAGACAATGCCCGCCGGTGGGCCTCGTAAAGTTCTGCGCACGGGAAAAGGCTATTGCTGCTAGCTGCATGTTTGCATGCACCGCTACAGGGAGGGAGCGTGGCCGCAGGGATCACAGCGAAACTACGGTCGGAAAGGCATGGCGCAACAATGTGCCGCCGCGGTCGCGAGGACCGCCAGCGGCCAACTGCCAGCGTGCGACGTCACCACCTGGACGCCATCCATGCCGTAGCCTCCGCATTGGCGAAGCTACTAACCCCGGCCCGCCATCGATTGGCGACATGGCGCAACGTCGGTAAAGAGCGCGTCATGCCCTCGCCCGGTTCCATCGACGGCCCGGCAGGAGCTTCGCTCGGAGGCCGAGGGCCGTAGTTCCGACGCATTCCGACACTGACGCCGCACTGACGCGGTCAAACAACTTGAGCGCCACCACGCCCTTCGCCTCACGCCCCGCCGCATCTCTCCGGAGCACAGCCATCGACAGCACCGCTGACCATGACGCCGCGACTACCTTGACAGCGCTGCCCGATGCACCGCTGCCGCTAGCGGCCGCAGTGCTACTTTGCATGGCGCCCGATGGCTACCACCTCACAACAACAGTGCAGTCCACATTTCTCGAGTCGTATGCTGGGGCCATGGCGGCAGCGGCTGCACGAAGCTTAGCCAACTTAGCCGACGACATTCGACACACGCCGCCGCCCGCCGCGACGTGTAACCCACACCGCGGTCGATGCAACCGCCGCCGGCCCTGTGCCGCACAGCGACAGCGTCCCCACTTGACCAGCCACGGCTGAAGAGCCGGGCGCCGCTGCGATTGCGACGCCGGCCGGCATTCCTGCTTGCGCAGCGACTACGCGAACATTGCCGGGAACTGTTCTTGCTGACGCCGCTGTTGGCCTGCCCGCGCGTGCCCGCACCAACAGCGGCAAACCCGAGCCCGCCCGCCCCAACTGCACTGCATGCACTCCGCCGCCCACGCTTGCACGAACTCGGGGTGTCCAATGGGAGTACACTGCAGCCCCTAGCTCGGAGATGCGGCGGGGGGGGTCTCTCCCAGCGTGAAGGCCCTTGTTTTGCCGAGGTTGGAAGCGATGCCACAGTGGGCCTCGACGGCCGTCGTCGTGCGACGGCTGTTGTCGTGCTGTCCAGGGCCGCCCGCGCAAGCTCTGGGACAGTCACGACAAAGAGGTCATCCAGGAAGGCCAACAAGGCATCATCGCAGTGCAGCTTGGCCGCGGCTTGGCAGAGCGCCTCGTGTTGTCCGAGCGCGAACAGTGCCGGGCCAAAGGGAATCGCCCTGCTCGCATCCTTCGCCTGCGGCACGGTCCGACACGCCCCCGTGGCGTCCCACCAGCAGTAGCTGGAGGTACAAGAGCCACACGAAGGGGAGAAGCTCCGGCGCGATCTCTGAGGAAGGCCAAGGCTATGGTCAATTCGCCCATTCTCACTTTCGCGCACGCTCGGCGCTGCTTGCCTAGCTCGGGGGACTTCGCGTCCTGAGCGGCTCCTCCTCTCCATGTGTGCCTCCCCTCGTGCCAACTATGCGCTCCGCACGCTGCCCCCGTCCGAGTCACGAGGGTATGCTGCCGTGCACGACGCAGCCATCTGGGAACCGTTGCAGGCTTGCTTGGGAGGAGTGTCCCTTCACGATGCGCCCCACGCCTGGCCGATAGCCACACTGCCAGCAGTGCTCGGCGGACTCGGCATACAATCGCGCAACGCACAGCCCCGGCCGCGTACTGGGCCGCGTAGGCAGACGCGCTGCCAGTCATGCGAGCTCGCCCGACTTCGCAAACCGGTGCCGGGAGGCCCTGGAGCGGGGAGCGGGCCGAGACGTCCCGTGTCTGCGCGAGGCGGTGGAAGCAGGAGAGCTGTTGCGTGAGGCAGGCTGGCAAACATGCCCCGCGTGCTGCACACTGTTAGAAAAACTCTCAACACGCATTTCTGCGAGCGCACGCTGCTGCCAGACATGCCACCCAGTTCCCAGGCACGCTTGCGACCCCAGGCAGGACCGCAAACAGGAGCATCGATCCCCACAAAGCCAGCCACTACGCTCCCGCCGAGCGATGCAGATCGCTTTGAGGCGCCGCCTGCGACAACCTCTGCCTTTGCACAGCAACACCCCATGGCTGCCGTGGCGCAGTAGACCGCTTCGGCGACCATGCACTTTGCGTGCTCGCGCACTGGACTCCTCGCCAGGCGGGCCAAGATCGTGGAGCGAGCCTGGGTGCAGGTCGCCCGGGAAGCAGTGGGGTCCGAAGGCCAGGTCGTTCCGCAGCAGTGGCTGGCCAACACCACCGCCCGCAGATCGGAGCGCAAGACCGTCGCAGACCCGACTTCGTCGTGTAAGGGGCGCTGCGCAGCGGGGGAGCGCAGTGTTGCGACGCTACGCTGGTTTCCCCGCTCACGCGATCGGGGCACCCGCAGCCATGCGGAGCGGCCGTGGACGGAGCCGTGCTGCGGGTGGCCGAGCGCCGCAAGCACGCCGCGGCGGCCGCTGGAACGCCCAGGCCCAAGGCTTCGTGCGAGACCTGGTGCGTCTCAAGATGTCTCAAGGCATACCGCGCCCCCCTCGCCGGGAGGTGCCTGGCGGCAGCCGCAGCAACCTGAGGCTGGCGAGGGGCCCGCCGCTCGACAGCATCATCCACCACGCCGCCCCTGAGGGCCACAGTCGCCTGCCCTTGCGGCCGTAGCGAAGGACCGCGGCGGGCCCAGCCAGGCTTTAGGTCTAGCAACGAAGGGACACCTTCAGGCAGGAGGAAAAAGGTGCGAGGGAAAAAAACCGAACAAATGAGTAATGTCGCAGTTTCCTGGATGTAGTTTCTGGTCTGATGTAGTGCATCTGCCAAGATGGCCATCAACAAGGCATGATTTGGTACAGTTTGCCACAGCCTCGCGCATTACTTAACTCGTAACACACACCGTTGTCGATTGTCCTGAAAGGACCGTCGTGACTCGAACGGGCAAAGAGCAAAGTGCAAAGCGCAAAAAACAATGCCAGTTCTGACATCGTTTCCACCGACACAACTTTTGAAGCATGGAATCACGTTGATACCTGGGTCGCCCCATGCGACGAGACCAATTCGGAACCCAGTTCAAAGCACCTGACCCACCAATCAGCAGGTAGGGAAAAACCATCAATAAGAGCACTATAAGAGCGCAAGCATCAGTCAGACCATGTCGAAATATTGCATGCTTGTATTTGCGCTGAAACACGGCGGTCCCAACACTGTTCCAACCATGTAAGATCACATGCCATTCTGCGGACCAGCAACGTCGAGCTTGCGCAAGTCCGATTTATACACCGGCCATCACCGGCCGGTGCGCAGCCGCAAAACACGCAACTGGGGAAATGACTGCCTTGAAATGGCGCAGGCGATCACATGCTGGTCCGTATCGGTTGCGTGGCTGCCCTCCGACTCGGTGCAAAGCCTGTGCATTTGCAAAATTGGCCGGTTGCGAATGACCCATGTGGGCTGCGCAAATCCTTTGTGCGTTGACAGCAACTGCAAAGTGTGGCTTCCACGTGCGCCTGGCGGCACTGTCCGGCTGCGTGTCAGCACGCGGGTGTGGCTCGCCGATCGGGAGACCGATGGTATCGTCGAATCCGACCTGGGCCCCGAGCAACGTGCCGTCGCCGCTTGTGACGAGCGCGCGCTCGAGAGCGTCCGGAGCGCTGCTGCTCTCGCAAGCTGGACCCCACTCAGGTCGTGCCTTCACAGTGCTCCCTACGTCTGCCGCTGTCGCCCTGCCCCCCGAACACCTCCGCGTGCTCCTTCTGCGACGGCTGCGTTTGCCGCTCCCCTTGGCGCCGCGCACCTGTCGTTGCCGAGGCCGCCTCGACCCGCTGGGCGACCACCGCT